ACGGACGGACGGACGGACGGACGGACGGACGGACGGACGGACGGACGGACGGACGGACGGACGATCATGCGATTCTACAAGCTGCATCTGACTATGTCAGATGAGCTAAAAACATAATGTCTCTGTTCGTAACCGAGCTGTGTCACGCGAAATCACTAATTTTCCGGGGGCACTCAGAGTACGTTCCGGCAGTAACCTGAGGGACATAGACCCTATGAGCGGTAGTAATAGTATAAAAATTATATTATAACCGACCCCCGGTTATAACCCCGGACCCCCCTAGCACTGAGCAGCACCCCCATGCTATAATGAAAAAGCTTGGAGAACCCTGCAAATAGTGACCAGGGTACGTTCCGGTATACCGGACCGTACTCAGGGTACGTTCCGGCAGTACCCTGGGTGACATAGACCCTATGAGCGGTAGTAATAGTATAAAAATTATATTATACTAGGTATTATATGTACGTGTGAACATCGAGTAACCTAGAACTTAGAAGTGTACATAGTGTAAACATATACGTGAACACAGGAGTTGGCGAAAGTCAAAATCAGGGGGGCGATTGTGTCTTTTTATTCACCAATATTGACATTTATTATAGGTGCAAATCCACTTTAGGCACCTTAGGTATCACGAAGTGATGCACAGATTTCTGTGTATCATCAACTGATGCACAGATTTCTGTGTATCATCAACTGATGCACAGACTTTCCATATATCAAGGAATGATGCAAAAACCTTAACCCTAACCCTAACCCTAACACACTTCGTGATACTTAAGCCTAAGGTTAAATACTTTATTTATGACTTAGGGTTAGGGTTAGGGTTTTTGCATCATTCCTTGATAATGATATCCAGAAAGTCTGTGCATCAGTTGATGATACACAGAAATCTGTGCATCAGTTGATGATACACAGAAATCTGTGCATCACTTCGTGATACCTAAGGTGCCTAAAGTGGATTTGCGCCTTTATTATACACTAATGGTAATGGACTTCAGGGCAAATTGTTTGTATCATCAAAAGTTCGTAACTCGAATGTTCGTAAGTTGGGGAGTCTCTTTATAATGATATATTTCTATTACTAAGTTATATACTATTATATACTATAAACAATATAAACAATATAGAGTAAAAGGTGATGATGATAATGATTAGGGGTGCACCGGAACTTGGATCCGGCCGGAACTATCTGGCCGGATTTCCAATTTTTCAGAATTCCAGTTCCGGCCAGAACCCTTCAGAAACAGTCGGCCGGAGCCGTGTGCGTGTGTGTGTGTGTGTGTGTGTGTTCCCGCGAAAGGTGTAAATCGAGGACATTCACGAGTTAAACACCTTCTAATTTTATTTCTGCTACAAGCGTCATCAAGATCAAAAGATCAGTCACTGAATGTAGTTGAGAGTCAATAGAGTCAACTTGCTGACAATATAGCAGGGGCGTGTACAGGGGGGGGGGTTCCAGGGGGTCCGGACCCCCCTGCTCGCGCAGAAAACGCATCTGAGGGGGTCTAATTTCAAAAAAATTCTGGGGGAGGGCCCCCCAGACCCCCCCTTCGCGTGCTCGCAAGTACGGCTCAAGGTGAGGCATATAGGTTTCAATGGGCTACATGTTCTCTATCCTTGAACCGAAAACGGCCGAANGACATTGTATTTGTATTATATATTTTTACATTATTATATTGTTATTATATACGTGTTATTTACATATATATTGTTATATTGTTACATTGCTATGTGTTATATATACATATGAGTTTGTGTGTATGAAAATGTTAAAACGATTTGTTTAACGTATTAACATCACCCACGCACACGCATGCGCCCGCACCCCCCCCCCCCCAACACACAAACACACACAAACAAACACACGCACGGTGATGCGCGCGCGCAGACACACACACACACACCCACACACACACACACACACACACACACACACACACACACACACACACACACACACACACACACACACACACACACG